TTAATCATGTGATGAAAGCTTAAAGTCGTTCCATTTTCATATATATTTTGATATGAGGTATATATATATATATATATATATATATATATATATATATATATATATATATATATATATATATATATATATATATATCACTAAATAGTAACCTCTCCTCCGCCACCGTTTTCCGCGACTATTCCAAAGCCTTTGACTGCGTAAATCACGACATTGTATTAAAAAAATTAACTTATATGGAATTCGGGGTGTGTCTTTGAATTCGTTGAAAACTCACTTGGTTAGAATTGGTACAAGATATTGAGTATGGAGTACCGTAAGGTTTAGTATTAGGTCCCATTCTTTTTTTACTGGTCATTAATGACATCACTTACTTGAAAATTAAAGGGAAAATTTTTCTATTTGCTAATGATACCAGTATTACTTGGAGCAACTCTAATATTTCAACGCTTCATTCAATTATAACCGCTGATTTGCTTATAATCAAGGCTTGGTCAGACTCTTACTTAGCTTTAATGTGGATAAGACAGTAGCATTATCTTATAAAGAAGTCATTCAACTCTGGCTTTTAAATGAGAGCCAAATCAGTATCGTTAATTCCGTAAAATTTCTAGGTATTCTTATCGACAGTGATCTTTAATGGTCCTTGCATACTGACTCCTTAAGGATGAAACTAGCCTCAGCTTGCTTTGCAATAAGATCTGTTTCGAAGGAACTAAATTTATCTTCTGTCAATATGGCATATTTCTCATTGTTCGAGTCCTATCTTCGATATGGGCTTCCATTTTGGGGTTTGATACTATTTTTAAGTTGCAAAAAAACGCAATTCGTTATCTATTTGGTCTCAAACAAACAACTCATTGTAAGACCTACTTCAAAAATCACGGAATTTTGACACTTCCCTCTTTATTTATTTTTGAAACGGTTTGTTTGATTCGCAAGCATCTAAACATTTTTCCCGATTGACCTGATAATGGCTACTCCATTAGAAATTCGGATTGTAACGTTTATTTACCGATCCCGTCCACTCAGCTAGTAAAGAATTCTATTCTATATAGTGCAAAAAAACTATACAATTACCTTCCAAGAGAAATTAAATCCACAAAATCTTTCATTAAGTTTCGTAAGATGGCAAAAATCTATCTGTCTGAAAGACCATATTATTCAGTTGACGAGTTTCAGTAGTAGGTTTCAGACGAGTATTGTTTATATTTACATTTGGGTGTCTCAAGCAGTGGCTACAATTTGTTTCATTTGTCGCTATCTGTACAAATTATGTAAGTTATACAATAATTTTACTAATTTAAAATTGTATTGTTTTGTTTTTTTATTATATTTTTTATTTTTTTATTATATTTGTTTTTGTTTTATACTTTTTGTATTATTTGACTGATTTTTTTAGCTTTGTCCATAAAATTGTTCAATAATTATAAGTGACAATAAAGCATATTTCTATTCTATTCTATTTGCATACCTCTGGTCTATTCTGCTTCCTGGCAGTGTTTTTAAGATATCCAGTGTTTCCCCTGTGTCAAATGCTTAGTGGAAGTTAACATAAATAAGAATTAGGGTTCGGTTATATTCCATAGACTTGTCGACTAGAGATTTAAAGCACTGTAGATGATCATTCTGTCATCCAACGAAATTATTCTTGTTCTTTTAAATGGCAGAAATTGAGCTTTACTTTTAATCTGTTTGCCAGTATTCGAATAAAGTGATTATACAGATTGAACGAAATAAATTCGGAACATAGGAATATAATGTATTTCGGCTTAATTCTGCTGTAGCTGGTTGGCCAACAAAAGATTGTCAAAAAATTATATTATAAAAAATCCCATACTTCAGCGGGCTGCTGGATTCTAAACTCATAAAAATTGAAAGCTACACATAAATCTACGATTTTATTATGCTGTCAAACCAGTTATAGTCCAGGAAATGAAGCATTTCACCTTGCAATTTTTTCGTGCGGCGTGGATTGACTTGAAATTTAACAGAAGGTAGGTAATAGCCTAAGGATTAAAACCTATATCGAACCAAAGTGCGCCAAAGCCTAGGGGGTGTTCCCACCCCATCTCCGGGGTGAATTTTTTTTACGTTTTAACTACAGGTTTCGATTAGCTAAACAAAAAATGTGCTATACATTTTTTTATAAAATGATATTTTTCAAGTTATTCGCGATTGAAAGTAACAACTTTTAGACGAAAAAAATCCACGTTTTTAATCGATTTTTCGCGAATAACTCGAAAATGGTGCATTTTATCAAAAAAATTGTAGAGAACAAATTTGTAGCTTTTAAAACGACAAATACAATTACAAATACAATATCAATGTTCAGCGGTTTTCTTCAAATGCCAAATTTGAAAGATTCAAAGTCAAATATCGGGAAAATGATGCATTTTTGGAAGAAAACTCACAAAACGTTTTTTAAAGAGCATAAATAGACCTATTATAAAAAAATAAGTCAATACCTCATTTTTTACGAAAAAATCGAGGAAAACAACAACCTAACCACCCCATAATTAAAATCGATCTTCACCCTTCTGCAATTCCCTTTGTAGATGTATTGTTAATACGTCCAAGAAGTTTGACCCATTTAAAATGCTTAGTTTTAGAAAAAGTACAGCTTAAAGCGAGAAACGATTTACAATTTCATATTTTTACCCTTCTTTTTTTAAATATGCCCGAAAATACTGAATAAATGAAAAAAATAAAAATTACCAAATTGTAGGTTTTTTAATGACTAAAATTATCCTTTATTTAGATTTGTTGTACAATGAATATTTGGCGAGATATAGCCGTTTAAAGCATCGATTTACGATCAAGCACCATCTTTTTCGAGCCCTTTAAACTCACCCCATTTAAAAACCAAGGGTTCCAAAAAGATTTAATTCACAGATCCTTGTAGCTATTAAAAACCTCTACAAATCGTTTTTGAAGAAACATCTATCGTTAAAAATTAAAGGAAATACGTTAAAAAAACCAGTTAATTTTTTCCGGAAAATTCCATTAGTATAGTACAGTACATTTCGGAGCATAATAATCTACAAAACCGGTATATTAGCTAGTGGGGCGTTATACATTCGAAATTTTAAGCGTTCTTATTTTGAAATCCCATACAACAGAATAAAACATCTGCTCATATGTCTATGGCTTGGCAATGAAAATATCAGAGCAACAGATTGGGGATGGTTTTCCAAAGATGGTTTGTTATTACCCGTACGCATGAACAAACAACCTGCACCCGATAAATTTTTGAAAATTATTTTTTGCCAATGCAAAAAAGGATGCGGCGTTTCATATGGGTGCAGAAAAGTTGGTTTATACTGTAACTCTACTTGTTCTGGGTGCTCAGGTGAAGGGTGCAATAACAGTCCACCAATAATTGAGGAAGATGATGATGACATGGATCACATGAAGATGTAATTGATGACGAATAAAATTAATATTATAATTGTTTTACCTATAAATGTAAATATTGTCAACTATTTATGTAAATGTATAAGAATATATGGTGCCTTTTTATGTTGATAATTTTTTTTGTATTTAATTCTACTTTTTTCAATTTATATCTTATAAATTAGTTTATAAAAACTGCAATGTTGTAAAGGGTGATTTTCAAAAGTTAAAAAGTTGCAAAATTTTGGCAAAAAATTGTTTTCACCTATAGCACTCATAACAATTGATTTTTAAGGGTTGAAAATGTATGAATTTGTATTTTAAAGTATAAAAAACTCACTATTTAACTAATCCAAACCAAATTTCACTCATCTTAGGATTTGTAATATTATTTTACAATTTTGAAAATTAGGGGTAGTTTTCACCCCTAAGAACAATCAGGGTTCATCGGCTAGACATAAACTATAAAGTAGAGGGTGAGTTGTGCTTAATTCCAAATTTTTATGCAAGTCGTTCCAAGGTGAAATCATTTTCTTCGCATTACTAATTTTTTTATATTAATCTCTATTGATGGTCGCTTTTTAAGGGTTGAAATATGATGGAACTTTATTGAAAGCACGAAACTATCATTATTTAATTAATTCAAACTAAATTTTACCCATATTCAGGTTTAATATGTTATTTTATAATTTTTGACAATTAGGGGTAGTTTTTTACCCCTAAGAACAATCAGTGTTCGTCGACATGACATAAACTATAAAGCAGCGGGTGAATTGAGCTTAAATCCAAATTTTTATCCAAATCGATCAAGGCGAAATCATTTTTTAGAATTAGTAATTTTTTACATTAATCTCTAACAAGGGTTGCTTTTTAAGGGTTGAAATATGATGGAACTCTATTCAAAAGTATAAAATAATCATTATTTAATTAATTCAAACCAAATCTTACCCATATTCAGGTTTAATATGTTATTTTATAATTTTTGACAATTAGGGGTAGTTTTTCACCCCTAAAACCCTTCAGCGCACTTCGGTTCGATATAGATTTTGATCCTTGGGCTATTACCTACCTTCTGCTAAAATTTCAACTGGATACATGCAGGACGAAAAAATTGCGAGGTTTTAACTTTTTTCGAGCTTCAATTCCTGAACTATTACGCCTCCTTAGACAAACCCGTCTTACGCAAACAACTTTGTTGCGAGACAGATAGTTGAACGATATTTTATACAATGTCTATACCCAGGTATGGATTTATTTTTGTCCAAGTTTTATATTGGTCCACTATTTTAAATGCAGTTCAAACAGACATGTATTAAATTGTATGTTCCGTTTTAATTTGTTATAGGTGGTTGAGTAAGCTGGCCTATAGTTTTTAAGATCTAATTGATCTCATTTTTCATAAAGGAGAATGTTTTTTCCGAACCGAATTTTTCTATTTATTTGGGATGTTTTCATTATGCAGATATATCAACAAGTTGTAGATTCATACGATTAGATAAGAAAAAATAACTTTAATGTAGTTGTAATATGTTATAATATGTATTTAAACACAAGATATTAAAATTATAATAATTGTTTGTAATATTTTGTATACTTCTTCTTTACAGGTTTGGTAGAGTATGCCAGAATCAGAGGCATCAGAGTAATTTTGGAAATAGACGTTCCAAGTCATATAAACGAAGGTTGGAACCATGCCAATAAGGTTGATGACAAAATAGTAATATGTGGTGAAGGAGATGTAAATGGTGGTCACTTAAATCCTGATAACCCAAGAAGCTTTAAGTTGTTAGAATCCATTTACTCAGATCTTATTCAGTTAGGCACAGATAACGAAACTTTTCATGTTGGAGGCGATGAAGTGGACTTAAATTGTTACAGAAATACAAACTCTGCTACTCATTTTCCCGGTCCATATGAGTTCTGGGCTGACTTAAATAACAAAATATTAAAACTGTTACTCAAGCTTTTAATAATCAACCACCAAAAAATATTGTTATATGGTCAAATGATCTAACTAGCAATTATATGTCGTATCTTAACTATACGAAAAACCTTGTTGTCCAATATTGGTATGGACAAATTGATCCAATACTAAGAAATGGCAACAAGGTTATATTTTTCTACAGTCTCCAACTGGTATTTAGATTGTGGATATGGACCTTGGAAATCAACTGAGAATGTAGGAAGTTGTGATCCATATAGGCATTGGAAGGCTTTTTATACCTACAGACCATGGTACGAATATCATATGCATAGAGAACAGGTCCTGGGAGGAGAGGCATGTTTATGGAGTGAACAGGTTAGTAGAGAAAGATGAAAAGGTAGCTGATATGAGCACATATTCATAAATGTTAGAGACTAAGGTCTTATACTAACAATCCATGTTATCTAAATGCTAAGTTCTTGTAAATCTTTATTAAGAGAAAGATTGGGCGACTGATTTCACTGTTTACAAGCTATACAGCATCAGGCCCGCAAGAAGCTAAATGCTGAAATAGATGGTATATGTAAGCCAATATGTATAAAACCAAAAAAATTCATTAAAAGTAGTACTAATATTATAGACAGTAATATATATATATGATTTCAGTTTTTTTCGGGGTTTGACTCCGCGTTATGTAATTTTGGTTTTTAGAAAAACCATTGTTTTGACGACGTTTCGGCAAGGTCACACTTGCCATTGTCAAGTCAGATTAGTTCTGCTTCGTCTTGGATACATCCGACTCTGTGGAACATCTTTGACAAGCTCACAAACTTTCGATCGGAGACAGATGCTGATCTCACCAAGAAAAAACAAATCAAAAATACCAGAGACGATGCCCAAAGACTCCCAAATACGTGGAAACCAATTCTACAGAAAAACGTAGAAATTAAAATAGCGAAGAAGACCCCGCCCACTTTGCGCACAGGACCAATAACAAGAAGCGCTTCAAAGTATTTTAAACTTAGCGAACAGCGACCGAGAAATCAGTAAGTTCGACTCGAGCAGTCGAACGGAGCTGACGTGCCAAGCAGTGAGAGGAGCGACACCGCCGAAGCGTAGAGACGACCAAGTCCGAGCTGAACTTTTTAGTTCATATCGTGAATGTAAGCACGATAGCGGTGACTTGGCGTTAAAGCGCCTAGGCCTGAAAAAGAGAGGCAAAACCTTGCGTTGCGACTAGGTTAGCCGGGGAGATTTGTTTTTTAAATCAAATCTTCACGGAGGCCAAAATTGCGGCGTAAGGTAGTGAAGAAGCAAACGGGCTTCGCCCGTCGGGATATTCTCTGTGCCTCCGTTGGGATGACACTGTGAGATATAGTTGTTTTGAACTCTATATCTGGCAGACACGGCCCCAGGGTCAGAGAATTGAGAAATTCAAGTGGATACCGCTTTAGTTCTGTCCTAAAGTGTGAACAACCGCGGACAGGTCACTGGGTGGCACCCAGAATCCGTGCTGGCAGCGGGCCAGACGGACAACAAAAAAGCCTTCTTCCAAATTTTTTGATTAGGCCCCGCCCCCAACATGGACCGTTCTAGGTCCCCGCCGATTCGTAAGGCGAACCCATCTGCCCCTAATGGTTGTCGTGAGAGGAAACTCCACGGCAACATCTATGACGCGTTATCCCTTGATGCCACCGACGATTCGACCACGAATTATGAGATATTCAAAGATCTCCCAGTAGACGACGACTGGAAAGAAAACGCCGTAAACGAAGAAGATTTCAAGCGCCCCAAGAACAAGAAGAGGCGTACGAAAGCCTGTGCGGAGGGAAGCCGCATAGAAGACACTACGGACGAAGAAACGCAAAAACAGGCGACAAAAGCTGGTAAAAGAACCAGACCTCTAAAAAGCAGCGAGGACGAAAAGTCTGAACTGCAAAAAGCGAAGATGCTCCTTCAAGAAAAGGAGAAGGAAATCTTAGCCCTCAAAAAGAAAATCGAGGAACTACAAGACATTATAATAAACTCCAAAAAGTCCATAATTGAACATATGGATAAGAAATTCGAACAACTTGAGGGCAAGAAATCAGAGGTGACCCTGGAAAAACAGGCACCTAAAAGAAAAGAAGACAACCTGGAAAACCAGGTCCCAATTCCAAAAAAGAAAGCTACGGGAACAATCCCCAAAGCCAAACAAACAGAAGAAAAGCCCAAAGAGGCACCCAAGCCCAAGAAAGTGAGAGAAGACTTCCCAGCACTCACCCCCACTAAACCACAAGATGAAGCTCAAACAGTACAAGATGGAGATGCGCAGGCTGAACTACAACCTCAAGAAACAGTCATGGAAACCGAAGAGGTACCAAGGAAAACCTTCGTACAGAAACCGCCTGTAATCAAATTACAGAGCGTGAATTACACGGGGGCCATATTAAACCTTGCACAAAAAGAGCAGGTTTATACAATCAATAAACTCTCAAGGAGTGGACGAGAGACATTAATACAAACGAAAAGCCCTGAGGACTACCGAAAAATGGTAAAAATTATTGAAAATTTCAATAAAGAAACCAAAATCCAGTGGATTGCTTTTCCACTGGAAGACGACATAAAACCACGAATGGTTTTAAGAGGGCTACCCCCATCAACAAGCCTACAAAGCATCCACGAAGAATTAGTAGAAATACACGAGATCGAAATAATCTCAATAAAAAACATGATTTCTAGAAAAGAAGACAGGAGGATGCTACCAATGTTCGTAATGACAGTGGAAAAAGAGGACGTGGAAAGCCTTAAGCGCATCACCAACTTGCTACACATGAAGGTGAAAATAGAAGATCTACGCAAAGCAACAGGGCCCACGCAGTGCTTCAACTGCCAAGGCTATCATCATGCTCAAAGAGCATGTTTCAAAGACCCACGCTGCGTGAAGTGCGGCAAAGAACATGCAACGAGAGATTGCACGTTGACAAAAGAGCAGAAGCCCAAATGTGCTAACTGCCAAGGCCAACATCCGGCCAATTTCAGAGGCTGTCCCAGATGTCCAGTCTGGGGCAGACCCCAACAACAGCAAAGACAAAGGCCTGCTACACAAAACAGGCCACAAACAGCACATACTGGGCTATCCTACGCTCAGGCAACCAATCCACAAGAGAGTGAGAAAACCATCCTCATCTCTAGACAACACCAAGATGGCCTAGTGAACTCCGTAAGGGAACTACTCACTAGGGTAGTAAATGAAGCGATAAAAGACTTCAAGCTAGCACTGAACTAGTGCAAACTAATAGGGGATACTTGAGGATAGGCTCCTGGAATCCAGGGGGTATAAGGACCAACCAGAACATTCTGGACGAACTGGTCAACAGATACGAAATGGACGTCGTAGCCATTCAAGAAACAAAACTCACGAACAACGTAAATATCAAATTCCCAGGATACGACGTATATAGGAACGACAATACAGCGAGAACAGGCGGCACAGCAATACTCGTGAAAAAAGGCATAAGACACACTAGATTACTAACACCACAACTAGTAACAATGGAAGCCACGACAATAAAACTAGAAATGAGGCAAGGAGAAGTCAGAATTACCTCAGCCTACGTAAGACCGCAAGATCCGCTGGTCGACGACGATCTAAATATGTTCCTAAACGACGAACCCTCTATCATAATAGGAGACCTAAACGCAAGATCCCCTAATTGGAATGATAGAGCTACGAACAGAAATGGAAGACTACTAAACGCGTACATAGATAACAACGAAGAGGTTATGGCAATGGGCCCCACAGACCCGACACACTACCCGGGAAATGCACTTCCAACACACATCGACATAGTAGTTGCTAAAAATCTAGGACTACAAACAGAACTAAAAACACTAAACGAAGGCACAACCGACCACAACCCCATCCTATTAGAACTAGGAACGTGGGAAGAAGAAAGTAAAATTACAAGGATTAAAAAGAAAACAAAGTGGACAAACTTCAAAAGGCTCGTAAGCACGGGAATTAACATTGTCCCCGTGATAAACAATCCACGAGAAATAGAAGTAAAAGTCCTAGAGTTGGAGAACATCATACAACAGGCAATCAGGAATAGCACTACCGAACAGGAAGTAGAAATGCAAACGGGCAGATTTAAGGATATACCACAAGAATTAAAAGATCTGATAAGGGAAAAGAACAGGGCTAAACAAATAGCACGACGAACTAGACATCAAGCACACAAAAACAGAGCAAATAGACTAAACAGAGAGGTCAAAACAGCACTACAACAACACCGTAGTGAAAACTGGGAAAACCATATAAGAGATATGGAAGAGCAAGGTCCAAATATGCAAAATATTTGGAAATTGCAAAAAATCCTACGTAGCGATAGAAAGCCAATTCCCCCACTACACGGAGAAAATGGCATAGTCTATAGCACAGAGGAAAAAGCAGAGGTAATGAGGAGTACTCTCGAGAGAGAGTGTACATTAAATTACCACCCAGACGAAGACATCGACTTCATAGAAGAAGTCGAAACACAAAGACAAAGACCGGAAAACCCCAACGAAATTATCCCTCCAACAACACCGGAGGAGATAAACGAGCTAATTAAGAACAGCTCACCAAAAAAGGCACCCGGTCCAGACCAGATCACAAACAGAGCTCTGAAGTATCTACCAGCGAAAGCTATAGTATACTTAACCAACATAGTAAACGCAATGCTAAGGTTCAGAAAATTCCCGAATAGATGGAAAGAGGCCCATGTCATAATGCTACCAAAGCCCGGAAAAGACAGCACATTCCCGCAAAATTACAGGCCGATTAGCTTACTACCAGCAATCAGCAAAATAGTGGAAAGAGTAATACTCAGCAGACTTAAAGCTGAAACTGACAGGTTAGATATAATACCAGAAGCCCAATTTGGCTTCAGGTCAGAACACTCCAGCGAACTACAAGTACTCCGACTAACAGAGTACATAGCAGCTGGATTCAATGACAAACAGTACACAGGAGCTGCATTCCTGGATGTAAGCAAAGCATTCGATAGAGTCTGGCATAAAGGACTTTTATACAAAATGAGACAATACGGGTACAGCGGAGCAATGACAAGATTGATCTCTTCGTACTTGAGCAACCGAAGTTTCAGAGTGCGGATAGGACAAGTCCTATCCGAACTCGGAAACCCGGAAGCTGGAGTACCACAGGGAGCGGTATTGTCACCTCTGCTGTACTCGATATACACAGCAGACATACCTAGAACACCAGGTACATTACTAAGTCTATATGCCGACGATACAGCAATAGCGGCCAAACATAGACACGTAGATATCGCAGTCACCAATCTACAGACCGCGTTAGACGACATTGAAGAATGGAGTCTAAAGTGGAAAAT